GACAGCCTTACCCCAGGGAAGGAGGGAACAGAGATGCTGGACACCCATGCTTTCGAGGCTGTCGAGGATGCTTGAAATCACCTACTTCAAGAACCCCACTGTTCAGGACTTCCGGAAAGTTTCAAGAGACAATGCAGAGCCACAGGCAGTGGCACTGAGGCCCTGGGTGCCAGCCCGCCTCTTTCCAGCCCTTCTGTGAGATGGTGCTCAGGAAGCCGGGGGCCAGAAGGCTCCGTGGAGGAACAGCCTGAACTGAACTCTGAGAAGGAACAGTCCCAGTGGGCTGGGGTTTGGGCCAAGCATGGATGGCTGAAGAGGGCAGGAGCACGGAGCCAGGGGCCACTGGGAGAGAGAGACAGGGCCCCTGCCCAGGGGGTGGGGTCTCCGGGGAGGCAGGGTGGGGCCAGGAAAGGACTGCTGAGTTGAGTGTCCTGGGGGTGGGGAGCCCCGGCGAGGGCAGGGCAGGGCCTGGGCAGGATGTGGCGGCCATGCTGGGGCTGCAGGATCCACCTGGGCAGAGCAGCCAGATGCTGGGTTGCCTGAGAGAGCCCAGTCCCTGCTGCCCCGGGCAAGTTCAGGTCTACCACCTGTATAGGGGCAGCTCCCACTCACTCATTCAGTTCAGGAGGCTGACCTCTGCCCAGAGAGAGCCCAGCCAGCCTGGGGTGGGCACACGAGGACCCGTCCAAGAGCAAGAGCTGGTAGATTCAAGGAGGTGATGGGATGTGTCAGGCCAGGCAGCTCAGGGGGTTCCTAAGCGCGAGGAAACCCCAACTGCAGAGCGGGGCCTGACAGAGCATGTCCTGGCCAGGACACCCGTCAACCAAGGCGGGCTGGCTGGACCCGTGGCTCTCCCAAGAGTGATCTCTGTGGCCCCAGTGGTCCCAGCCTGCCCTGGGGGACAGGAGGGTGGTTCTGCCCTTCCTGAAAGCAGTGGCCAGTCTAGTTCTCATGACGTCATGAAGGTTTTCTAAATTATCTTCCAGGTCTGCCACATGGGTCCCAGCGGCCATGAAGGAAAGGCCGGGAGCTGCCCCTACCCTCCTCCTGCAGCTCAGACTCGGGGGTCTCATGCCTGCCACCCTGCCCTGTGGGCCCACCAAGCACCCCTCCAGCACCTGGGAGCCTGAGTCTAGATTCCGCCAAGAGGAAATGGGGTTCATGGTGGCCTCCTGGACCATGGGCCTGGCCTCCCCTGCCGTCTCTGCTCAGGGAAGCTCCACCATGTCGTCCAAAGCTGAGGCCCCTCTGCCACTCTCTACCAGAACCATCACATCCCAGTGGCTCAACAATGCTCTGTGGGTGTCCAGGCTGCATGGTGTATGAACCAGAGTGTCCCTCAGATGGCACCCAGAGCCCTGCCCTGGTCAGGAGACCACAAGAACCTGGCTGTGAGTGTTCACAGAGCTCCCACTCACTGTGGGTCTCCGTGCAGGGGCGAGTCTGCCCTACATCCTATCGCTCAGGCTTCAGGCCCTGCTGTGTGGGTGCAAATGTGTACATGTGTGCGAGTGCATGCATAGGAGTATGTGTGCATGCATGTGCATATGCATGTGAGTGTGTACTTGTGTGTGCTTGCACATGTGCGTACATCTGTGTGGTTGTGCGCACACATGTGCATGTGTGTACGAGTGCATGCATAGGATCGTGTGTGCATGGATGTGAGTGTGTACGTGTGTGCATGCACATGTGCATGAATGTATGTGTGTACATCTGTGTGGTTGTGCATACACATGTGCATGTGTGTGTATGTGTGTGTGATTGCATGCATAGGAGCATATGTGCATGAATGTGTGTGCATGCCTGTGAGTGTGTGCACATGTGAATGTGTGCATGCATGCATGTGTGTACGTCTGTGAGGGTGTGCATGCACATGTGCCTGTGTGCATGAACGTATGTGTTACGTCTGTGTGGGTGTGCACACATATGTGCGTGTGTATGTGTACATGTGTGTGTGAGTGCATGCATAGGAGCATTGTGCATGAATGTGTGCATCGTGTGAGTGTGTATGTACATGCACATGTGCATGTGTGCATGAATGTATGTGTGTACACTTGTGTGGTTGTGCACACACATGTGCATGTGTGTATGTGTGTGTGATTGCATGCGTAGGAGGATATGTGCATGAATGTATGTGAGTGTGTGCACATGTGCATGTGTGCATGAATGCATGTGTGTACATCCACGTGGGTGTGCACACACATGTGTATGTGTGCATGTGTGTGTGCACATGTGCCCATGTGCATGAATGTATGTGTGTACATCTGTGTGGATGTGCACACACACGTGCATGTGTGTGTGAGTGCATGTATAGGAGCATTGTGCATGAATGTGTGCATTGTGTGAGCGTGTATGTTCATGCACATGTGCATGTGTCCATGAATTATGTGTGTACATCTGTGTGGGTGTGCACACACGTGTGCATGTGTGCCTGTGTGTGTGCACATGGGCCTGTGTGCATGAATGTATGTGTGTACATCTGTGTGGGTGTGCACACACATGTTCATGTGTGTGGTGGGGTGTGCACAGTGTACCCATATGAGTGTGTGTGGCAGGTATACGTGAAAGCTCCCAGGACTTTGCAGGTAGAGTCGTAGGTGGAACCCTCAGGCACACTGCAGGTGCATCTTAGGTGTCAGTGAGTGGTGGGGACAGGAGCCAGGTGGACGGGGAGGTGCCTGGGTCGGGGATGGGGGAGCACAGGGAAGCAGTGAGTGTCTCTGGGAGAAGCAGCAGCTGGAGAGGGCTGTGGGGCTGTGGGGAGGCATGTGTGTGTCTGTTTTAAGGTGGAGCTCATGGAGCATGTGTGTAAACTGGCGAGGTGATCTAGGACGGGCATTGGCAGATTGTGGCCCACAGGCCACGTTTTGTAAATGAAGTTTCATTGGAAAGCCACACCCTTGTCTCTGTACTGTCTCTGACTGCTTCCACTCTACAGCAGCAGAGTTGGGTACTTGTAACAGAGTCCACAGTCAGCTAGATGAGAGGCATTGGGGCCACGGGATGGGGAACGGGGAAATGTTTACACAATCTGCTCCCGGCCTCATTAGAGAAAACCTCATGGTTGATGAGGCTTGGACAGGAACAACCAAGTGTGATGACCGAACATCCTTTGCGCTGTAGTTTTCACCCGACTCCAGCTTGCTGTTGCTAAGAAAGTGACACGCACCTGTCTGGGGACGAGGTTGCAAGAGAATAAGTGAAGGCCTCTGGACCTTCTCCTCTTCTTTCCTCTCTGTCTCTCTACCTACTCCACCTCACCGGGGCTGCTCCACCTCACCTGGGCTGCTCCACCTCACCGGGGCTGCTCCACCTCAATCAGGCTGCTCCACCTCACCTGGGCTGCTCCACCTCACAGGGGCTGCTCCACCTCACCTGGGCTGCTCCACCTCA